CCGGGGGGGGGGGGGGGGGAATGCAGCCACAAATTGTTAAGTACAAGGACCGGTTGCACGACCACTTTTTTTCAGTGCCGTTGTAACTTTGAACAGTCGCTAAAGAAACGACTGAGCCGAGGTGGCGCAGTGGTTAAATGCAGCACTGCAGGCTACTTCAGCTGACTGCAGTTCTCAGTTCGGCTGTTCAAATCTCACCGGCTCAGGGTTGACTCAGCTTTCCATCCTTCCGAGGTGGGTGAAATGAGAACCCGGATTGTTGTTGGGGGCGATATGCTGACTCTCTAAACCCCTTAGAGAGGGCTGAAAGCCCTATGAAGCGGTATATAAGTCTAACTGCTATTGCTATTGGTTGTAAGTTGAGGACAGCCTGCGTTTTTCTTTCCTTCTTTGCAAGGGACATTTTGGAATGAGTGGAGGGTTGCAAAAAAAAAAATGAGACCACCCCCAACCCCAACAGCTCTCGCCCTTGGCAGGAGTGGGTTACAAACTGACCTTTCGGAATTATTTGAGTGGGGTCAACTGTTATAAAGGAGCATTTTTTTCCTTCATCCTTGTGCAAAGAAGTAGAAATTTGAAGGCGATTTTTTTTTCAACCACCCAGCGTTGAACTTCCTGTAAAAATTTGGAAGGGCATTTCTGGATATCTCGTGTATTGGAAGGACAGGCTTCAGGATTGCAGTCCCCAAAATCCACCACCACCAAGTCCATTATCTGCCTTGAAAAGTCAAGGCAACCTTGAAGTGACGCTCTGTTTTGGAAGTTGAGGGGGGGCTTCCTCCATCATTTACAAAAGGCCTACCTGAAGCTGACCAAAAGAGCAGATGTGAATACAGCAGTGTACAAAATTCACCTGCTTCATCTAAGGACAGTTTAGTTTAGCCCAACATTCAGAATCACCCACCTTTTTTACGTTGCACAGGACTCTACAGGTAGCTCTCGACTTATGGCCACTGTTGAGCCCAAAATTTCTGTTGCTAAGCAAGCCGGATATTCAGTGAGTTCCCCCCCTCCCCATTTTACAACCTTCCTTGCCACAGTTGTTAAGTGGGTCACTGCTGTGTTAAGTCAATGACTCAGTTGTTAAATGAATCTGGCTTCCCCATTGACTGTCAGAAGGTCGCAAAAGGGGATCGCGTGACCCCGGGACACTGCAACCGTCATAAATAGGAGTCGGTTGAATTTTGATCACATGACCATAGAGGATACTGCATCAGTTGTCAAGTGGGGGAAAACGGTCATCCGTCCCTTTTTCGTAGCGATGAACGGTCGCTAAACGAACTTTTGTAATAGGTAACTTTCGAGAACTTACCTGTAACGAAGACCATGAAACGGCATTCTTGAAGGGGTCCATCAACAGGCTTCCATCTCAGGTTGAGACTATTTCTAGATCATCTTCTGCCAAACCTGCTTCCCCCTTTCGCTCCGTCTTTGGATCCAGCCACCCAATTTGAGAATCCACATCGCCAAGGATCCACCCTGGATTATCCAAAGGCTGGCCAGGTCCACACATCAAAGCGTGCTCAGGATCCCCCTACGTTAACTGCCAGTTTTTCTCCACCTGGAACTCTTCTCTTCCCCGAGTCTGTTGAAAGAAAATCCTCTGGGCATTAGAGGAAAACTTGAACCGCAACTGTTCATTAAAGTAATAAACCACAACGCTTCGTGGAGGGAGGAAGAGAAAAGAGACTGAAAGAGAGACGGAAAACTTCAAAACTCAGCTGCATGCTTTAGATTGCAATTTGGATGTGCAGCTGTTGGAAGGAAGATCTCTTGGGAACGCCGAGAGGCTGATTTTTGAGCAGACATGTCGAGAATTGCACTATTAGTTTTAATATGTGGGCATCGGTGCCACCCCCTCTCCACTTGATTCAAATCCAGATATCCTCAGCTATTTATTGGGGGTGGGAAGTGGGAGGAGGGAGGGAGGGAAGGAAGGACGGACGGAGAGGCGTTTTATGCATCTGAGAGGGAATATTTGGTGGGAGAAATTTATACATCGGAGAAAAAGGGGGGGAAAAATCCCAGAAGAACGAAGGGCAGACCTAGATGGAGGAATTGGCAATCTTGGGACTGTGAATACATCATCTGTAATACTTTGCTGTGCCTCTAATTACAGCCGTTAATTAATTAATCTGCTAATGACTAATCTCTCTTTCTGTGGATGCTGGGTGGTGTTTTTTCGGCGGGGAGAGACACATAATGGCATCTTAGCACCTTTGCATTCTATAGGCAAATCCGGATTTTGGGAGGAGTTTGGAGGGATTTTCAAGGAGGTGTAAGATGGTGGAAATGTTTGGGAGAGGTGATAAGAGGCAGACGTAAAAAAGAAAAAGCTGTAACTTGTGGTCAGACATGTTTCTATTTGCAAATCAGTGTAAGTAAGGTTCTACATTTCCATCTACAGTTCTACAAAGTAAGGTTCTGCATTTAGGCAAGAAGAACAAAATGCACAGGTATAGTATATGTGGTGCTTTGCTCAACAGTAGTAACTGTGAGAGGGATGTTGGAGTCCTAGTGGACAACCATTTAAATAGGAGCCAGCCGTGTGCAGCAGCTGCCAAAAAAGCTAACACAGTTCTAGGCTGCATAAACAGAGGGATAGAATCAAGATCACGTGAAGGGTTAATACCACTTTATAAAGCTTTGGTAAGGCCACACTTGGAATATTTGCATTTAGCTTTGGTCACCACGATGTAAAAAAGATGTGGAGACTTAAAGAAAGAGTGCAGAGAAGAGCAACAAAGAGGATTCGGGGACTGGAGACTAAAACATAGGAGGAACTGTGTTGGTTA